GAGAATCCTGCCAGTAAATCTGGGGGATGTTCCAACATGCCAAGGAAATCACCCAAGTCCTATTAACACCATGACACCGAATGAGAGAGGCGCTGAACACTTGCTAACACTGCCGACATCCTGGCAGCTTTTGAAAGAAAGATCATGTTGCTATTTACTAATGTGTGGGTGGGATATTTGAAGATGAAGAGGCGCTGGAAAGGAACCAGAGCGTTCTTTCCAAGGAGTTTCCAAGAGTTCCCAAGAGTTCCTAAGGACCGAGTTGAACGTCGCCCTGCATACGTTTTGCAAAAGTTGCCCTCCACAAGCTTTTCCTCCTCTTCCACCCCCTACACTCCAAATCCACTCTCAAGTCCCAGATCCACCAACGCAGAGAAAGTGTGAACTATCAGGGAAGAGAATGACATGTGGTCTTTATAACTATAGCCCAGATCCACACCCAAATGGAATGGAAGCTTCAAGAACAGCAGCATCAACAGCATCTAGAGGCAGGGCATGGTGGCTCACACCTGCAATCCCAGAACTTGGGATGCCAAGGCAGGAAGATCACTTGAGGCTGGGAGTTCGAGACCAGCCTGACCAACATGATGAAACCCCATCTCTACAAAAAATACAAAAATTCGCTGGGCATGGTGGCGGGTGCCCATAATCCAAGGTACTTGGGAGGCTGAGGCAGGAGAATCACTTGAACCCAGGAGATAGAGGTTGCAGTGAGCCGAGATCATGTCACTGCACTCCAACCTGGATGATAGAGCAAGACTCAATCTCAAACACAAAAACAAAACAACAGCACATAGACAGTAGAGGCACACACGGGATGCCTGCAGGTTCTGTAATGGAACACATGGCACTTAACAGTCTTCTGAGCAAAGTCCCAGGCCCTTCATAACCGCTCTTAGAGCATGTGGAGTGTTAGTGTCTTCTGATTAACAGAAGTCTAACATCTATTCTCACTGGAAATAAAAGGGTGATTATAACAACAATTCTGGTCCCTCCTAAGGTTAAGGAACAATGTTGACTGCTTCTGACATAACGTGGTATATTTATCCTGGGTAGGATAATTTGATGCTTACCTTCCCACAGAAAAAGAAAAGTTTAAAGCTTTTTTTTTTTTTTAAAAGAAAAAAAAAAAGCAAGTGGACTGGGCACGGTGGCTCACCCCTGTAATCCCAGCACTTTGGGAAGCCAAGGCAGGCAGATCACCTGAGGTCAGGCGTTCAAGACCAGCCTAGCCAACCTGATAAAACCTCCTCTCTAGTAAAAATACAAGAATTAGCCAGCCATGATGGTATAGGCCTGTAATCCCAGTCACTCAGGAGGCTGAGGTATGAGAAATCACTTTAACCCAGGATTTGGAGGCTGCAGTCAGCCAAGATCATGTCATTGCACTCCAGCCTGGGCTATAGAGCAAGACTCCATCTCAAAACAAAAACAAAACAAAACAAAAAGAAAAAGAAAAAAAGAAAGATGCAAGTAGTTGTCAATAATTCACAACTATTTTAATTACTCCAGGGTATGCAAAAATCTCAGGGAGCATCATAAAACTTTAGAGTCAATTTTAGTTTCAAATTCAATTGTAAACTAACGGGCTAGTTTTTCTTGTTTTGTTTGTTTTGAAACAGTCTTGTTCTGCTGCCCAGACTGGATCTCGAGGGGCACCATCTCAGCTCACTGCAACCTCCATCTCCCAAGTTAAACGATTCTCCTGCCTCAGCCTCCCAAAGTACCTGGGATTACAGGCACATGCCACCATCCTCAGCTAATTTTTGTATTTTTAGTAGAGACGGGGTTTCACCATGTTGGCCAGGCTGGTCTCAAACTCCTGACCTCAAGTGATCCGCCCACCTCAGCCTCCAAAAGTGCTGGGATTACAGGCGTGAGCCACCGCGCCCGATCCATAAAGGGCCAATTTCGTGTAGCTTTGATGTGGTCCCTTTTCAAGTGGGTAGGGAATAGAACTGGCACAAGCAGAGGTCTGGAAAGGTGCAGGGTCCCCCAGATTGAACTAAATTCTGCTACACAGCAGCTCAGCAAAGTGAAATAATTCTCTTCCTCCCCTCAAGTTTCCACTCTTCCTCTGGGGCTGGAATGCTCCCACACTGTGTTATCTAAGAGGCCAGGGTGATTCAAGGGAAGGGAAAAAGGGATTCTCCCCCAAGATCAACATCTGATCAACAGAAATAAAGCTGCCTTCACACTAAAACAATTCTCCACGGTCCTATTGTTCTTGTTTTGTTTTTCCCAAATGATGGAAAAAATCTAATTCCAGAAAAATGTTAGTAGCTAGATTATGTGACCACCATGGGCTTAAAAGCTATGTAGCTTAAATTTTTAGGGACTGAACCTATTCAAATATTTTCAGAATAATATCTCATCTCTTGGCATCAATCTATCATCTAGCATATAAGCAAAGGGCCCACAAAATGCAGAACAAAAGGGCCAGTCTAAAGGAGATTTCACTTGGAAGATACTAAGAGTGACTCGGCCTTGGGACACTCAGGCTTAGACTTGCTGGGTCCAGTTCAACATGGAGTGGGCAACAGTAAAGATTAAAAACGGGAAAAGCAAGAAAAAAACAGGTACTTGGAACCATGCTGGGAGCTAAATATAAGACAAGCTTTCAGAAAGTTCTGGCAAATCATCAGGAAGGGGTTAGAAAAGTCTAGATTGCTGTTAAGTAGGGTAGCGTTGAAGAATCAACCTTTTTTTTTTTTTGAGACGAAGTCTCACTCTGTCACCCAGGTTGGAGTGCAATGGTGCGATCTTGGCTCACTGCAATCTCCGCCTCCTGGGTTCAAGTGATTTTCCTGCCTCTGCCTCCTGAGTAGCTGAGATTGGAGGCATGCGCCACCCTGCCCGGCTAATTTTTGCATTTTTAGTAGAGATGGGGTTTCGCCATATTGGCCAGGCTGTTCTTGAACTCCTGACCTCAAGTGATCCACCCACCTCCCCAAGTGCTGGGATTACAGGTATATGTCAAAGAAGAATAAACCATTTCCCTTAGTTGGACGTACCTGCCCTTCACAGGAATAGCTTCTGTGCAAGAGCATGAAGAAGGCCTCCAGGTACAGGGAGCTCTGGGCAAAGCTCGCTTTGAATCTCCCTTTAAACAGAGTTTGAATCATGTCCTTTGCCGACATGAATCAAGCTGGAGGCCATTTTCCTAAGCAAATTAACGCAGGAACAGAAACCCAAATACTGCATGTTCTCACTTACAATGCGAGCTAAGCATTGAGTACACATGGACACAAAGATAGCAACAATAGACACCGGGGCCTCCCTGAGGGTGGAGGATGGGAGGAGCGTGAGGATGATGGAAAAACGACCTCTCGGGTACGGTACTCGTACCTGGGTGATGAAACAATCAGATGAAACAATTTCAACCCCAGTGGCATGAAACTTACTCACATCGCAAGCGTACACAGGTATTCCCTGAACCTAAAATAACAGTTGGAAGGAAAACAACATAAAAAAGACAGTAAGGGGATTCAGAAGAACAAGGCAGCTACCCTAGGCCATCCCACCAGACAAGAGAAAGAGCCTTCCCTCAAACCTTTCATGACGGGCGGAAAGAAGGGAGTCTCTTAACATGTGCAAATGGGTTCATTAATGACAAAAGAAAGAGGCCTAATTCCGTATGATACCCCCATCAGAACTCTCTCTCCAGCCATCTGTCACGTTGCCCTAAAAATGTCCTCAATCAAGGACTGGAAGCGACAGGGTCACTGCCCTGCAGGCCTAGACTCACGTGGCCCCAGTATCATCCCAGCTGGGTTGTGGCAATGTCCACTGCTTTGGAAAAGTGGTGATCATCAACATTTTCCTGCACCTCTGGCATCTGGCCCAGATCCAGAAGACTCTCTCACTCCCCAAATGATCCTAGCCCTTACATTTTGCAACCACCGTGGCCATCCTGCACCTCTATGTTTATCAGCTATAGTTAACCATCACTCACAGAAGTGGTAGCTATGACAGCAATTTCACTTCATTCCCCTCAGCACGCTTCCTTTCCTCTACGACAATTCCTTAGAGACCCATGCTGTCAATAACAATCATACAGTCAGAACAGTCAGAACGGTTCCCATGTATTCAGCACTTACTCTTTCAAGCATGATGCTAAGGGATTTACATATTTATGTTTTTTACATATTTAAGTCATATTGCATCAGCCCTCTGACAAAGATCAGAGGTGTCCCATCTTTTGGCTTCCCTGGGCCCTATAAGAATTGTCTTGAGTCACACATAAAATACACCAACACTAATAACAGCTGATAAGCCAATAAATAAATAAATAAATAAATAATCTCATAGCATTCTAAGCAAGTTTACAAATCTGTGAGGCCACATTCAAAGCTGTCCTGGGCTGCAGGTTGGACCAGCCTGATTCAGCTGCTACTATTGTCCGTGTTCTGCAGAGGAGAAACTGAGGCTGCTTTCATTCCCTCTTGTTCTCATACTTTGGGAAGAACTCCTTATCAAACAGTAAAGCTTCAGGAATCCAAAGTTCCTGAGTGGTGTTTTTTAACAGCTGGGAGGTAAGGAGGAATAGTAGGAGAGAGAGGGGGGATAGGATAATACTATTTGGTCTGGGCTTTTGGAAGAGCCTTTTTTTTTTTTTTTTTTTGAGACGAAGTCTTACACAATTGTACAGGCTGGAGTGCAGTGGCACAATCTCTGCTCACTCCAACCTCTGCCACCTGGGTTCAAGTGATTCTCCTGCCTCAGCCTCCCGAGTAGCTGGGATCACAGGCACCCACCATCATATCTGGCTAATTTTTTGTATTTTTAGTAGAAGCAGGATTTCACTATGTTGGCCAGGCTGGTCTTGAACTCCTGACCTTGAGATCTGCCTGCCTAGGCCTCCCAAAGTGCTGGGATTACCGGCATGAACCACCGTGCCTGGCCCGGAAGAGTATTCTTGACTCCTTTGGTCACAAAATTCACACAAGATGTTGCTATGCTATTGTGTTGCTGTGGTGCAAGATTTAGCCAATTCTTACCCTGTTGTCTTCCTGGACTTCCCAGTCACTGGAGAAAGTCGCCAGCTGCTGTCCTTGGGAACAGTTTGAAAACTGGAAAAGGCTAGAAAACATCCTTCTGTTCTCTTGAGTGTCTGGGAAGATGGCATCTTGGAAATTGACTCCGTGAGGCAAGAGGTTATAATTTTCATCCATCCTAATGGAGAAGAGGGGGGAAAAAAAAGGCAGACATGTAGACTAGACAGTCAAGGGTGTACCAGCTTCAATCAAGAGTCAGAGACAACTGTGGCAGGCTTGCCAATTTCACATCAATGTCTGGCATGGCTCTCAATAGAGAAGTTACTACAGTTACTACTTCTAATTGTTTCTTTGTCTCACACTACATGAGTCTATCCTTCAAGTATCCAAAAATTAAATTTAAGCAAAGCATGGGGAAAAGTATGTGTATGGTGACTGTTTGTCTATTTGTCTTCCAAGTCCCCCAAAGGGTCTTCCTTCTCATTTAGTATTCCTTATTTCCTGGTGAAAGGAAAGTCAGCTGTAATGACCCCGGTTTAAGCTCTGTCATTGGTATTTATCTGCTATATAACATGAAACAAATATCTTAACTCCTCTAAGCCTCAGTATTCTAATCTGCATAAAGAATATAGTGCTGGCCCGGTGCAGTGGCTCATGCCTGTAATCCCAGCACTTTGGAAGGCCAAGGTAGATGGATGATCTGAGGTCCAGAGTTCAAGATCAGCCTGGCCAATATGGTGAAAACCCTGTCTCTACTAAAAATTAAAAAATTAGCTGGGTGTGATGGCAGGTGTCTGTAATCCCAGCTACTCGGGAGACTGAGGCAGGAGAAATCATTTGAACCAAGGAGGTGGAGGTTGCAGTGAGCCGAGATCACATCATTGCACTCCAGCCTGGGAAATAATAGCAAGACCCCATCCCACTAAAAAAAATTTTTTTTTAAAGAATACAATACTGCCTACTTTCTTGGTGATGTCATAAGGATGGCATCAAAAACGTAAATAAATGAAGCACTTAGTGCGAAGTAACTGCAGTACACATTAGTGAACATATTTACAGGGCCTGGCATAAATCAATTAGAATGATTCTTAAAGAAGTCAAGAAGAGATGAAAGTTACACTCCACTCTAAAAACAAAAAGGACACGTAGCGCTCACCAGTGACACTCAACGGCCACCCTCACCCCTGATACTGACCAGAGGCCCCGTCTCATCTCAGTGGATCCCAGAATAACAGAGGAAGAACGATGTGTATGCAGTTGTTAACACACTCCAAGGCAAGACAGCCCTGTGAAATAAAAACGTCAGACTTCTATCTTTGTATTTCTGCCCTAACTTGTGTAAACACGGTAGAGCAAAAAAGATGAGAATTGGCTGAGCACCACGGAACCATCGGACAAACTGTGTTTCATGATAAAAATTTCTTTAAAAAGCCTGCTCAAGTACTTGGTCTCTTTTTTCTTTGGAGAACACAGTTCTGGTTTTGAACAGTTTTATAGATGGGTTCTCAGAATTTTTCCTAATTAAAAACATGAAACCCTAAGTTTCTCTGTATCGAGAAGGGCACTCTCAGTCCTGGCTGGCTTTATTTAGAAACTATACTTCCCTGGGGAAAAAAAAAAAAAAAAAAGTCAACTTAATCTAGCTGAACCACTCAAGCCAACACAAAGCAAGACATGTTTTTTAAACTTAGGTATTCTGGCTTCAATATGGAAAACACGTGTTGCCATGCACTTACAAACACCACATTGCAGAACTGTTTTCTTTCTCAGAGAAATGCCAGCTAAAAGTGAATCTGCAGACCCAGGTCAGCCTCGTTCCAAATATCCTTAGTGCTACTTCACAGACTGGGAAAACTGCAGCTACTACCGACCTCCACAACGGAGAATTAATTCACTCACCCTCTTGATATATAGGTTAGATTCCATTTTGATGCTTTCCTCAGTTGTTTTATATCCCTCTCCAAATTCAACTGAAGCCAACCGAAGAATTTCGAGTTCTACCTGGAGCGCTCTATTCAAATTTCAGAAAAATTCAGTAGTCAATGAGAATTGACTGAATTCTTACGTAGATGCATTCCATCTCGACCACAGGCCAACGCTGACGGAACTTCAGAAGATTCCAGTGGTCTAGAATCAAGAGGACCTCCTGCCTGGTTCACCTCTCCACTCCGCAAAGCGCTGTGACCCAAGATTTTACCCGCAGCAGAATCCCCTACCCCCCAATAAACCTTTGCTATTTCATCTAACCTGGCAGCTGATACGAGATAATGAAGCGATGCTGGATTGCGTTCCACACCATTCACCTCTTGGCATTTGAGAGGGAAGAGGAGAGGGCGGACAGCTAGTCAGCCACTACCCTGCACCAGGTGCTCTGCATGAGTTACGTTTCCCGCTCAACCAGCCCTGCTTCTCACTTTACACAGGTGAGGCTATGGAAGTTCTTGAGAAGGTGAAAGAAATGTACTCAGAATCACGATTAGAAAGGGCAGAGCCAAAATGCCAGCTGCAGACTGATTTCAGAGATTGTTTTTCTCACCGTCCCAATCTGCTCCCACTGAGGCCAATTTGAAAACCAGAGTCACAGGGACTGCTGGAGCGCGCTTTGAGCTTTTGCCTGCAATGCTCTTTTTTCTGTGTACAAGGCACAGAAACCCTCCCTGTCTTTTGAACAGCCTTAAGCAAGAGTAGCCAGGGTGTCTGTAGAGAAGTCACACGGAGCAAGAGAGAGCCAGGAAGGCATGCCGGAGGCGCCTCAAGCGCATTCTCACTGGGCACCGACAGGCCGCTCCGGGGTTCCCGGCCTGGCTACAGTACGACCTTGGGAGGTGGCGCAGAGAGGTGGCGGCGGCGCCGGGCTCACCTGAGGAAGAAGAAATAGGAGTAGTCCTGGACCACGGTGTGGGAGTGGCACGAGAAGTAGCCCAGGCCGGTGAGGTTGAGCCTGGAGCCGGCGGGCACCTCCAGCATGCTGCCCCACGCCTGGTCGCACAGCATCTCCACCTCGGCCGCGTAGAAGAGGCCCCCCTGGCCGGCGTGGTACTGCCAGGGCAGGTGGTTGTAGAGGCCGGGCGCCTCGGGGTGCAGCGCCAGCACCCGCGCGTACACGATGGTCTCGGCCAGCTCGGCGCGGCAGCCGTCGCTCAGGGGCCTCCACTCGGAGGGCAGCTGGCAGGCGCGCGCGGGCGCCGGGGGACCCGCCAGGCAGAGCGCGGCGAGCAGCAGCGGGCGCAGCATGCCGGGCCCTCCCGGGGCGCACGGGGAGGCGGCGGGGAGCCCGGGAAGCCCGCCGGCCTGGGAAGGGCAGCCCTAGGCGCTTGGCTGCTCGCACCGCTCCCGGGAAGCTGGGCGAACCACTATCTTTGCCGCGGAGTTCCGCGTGCCCGGCTCCGGCGCGCCACGCTTTAAAAGGCTCGGGGGGACTGGACACGCCGGGCGCCCGCCTCCCGCCCTGCCCCCTGCGGCTGGGGCGTGGGCGGCGGAGGGGCGGGGAGTGGGGCGGTCCCGGCGCCGGCTGGGGCGGGAACGCCCGGGACCCAGCCCTGACTTGGGGACAGAGGCCCAGCCGTCTCCTGGCGCCCCGCTATGGACGGGGTCCGAGCTTGCCAGGCGTAAAACCTGTTTGCAAACGCAAGGCACTCATAAAAGAATGACTTTTAATTTGGACGATTACTAAGTTTTGACATTTTCTCTGCATTTCAAAGTAAAAATACATAGAAACCAAATCTGACTATCTTCCCAGAGATTAACTAGGAAATTCAGTGTGGGCTGAAAAACTTTTTTAGATCTTGTGCTCTCTCAGATTTGCTACTTATTTAATGAAGATCTTAGAAAAGCTTTGATAAAAGATTCCAAAAAGCAATCACTTGGCCCTGATTTTCTTAAACCCAGATGGTTTACATAATCCCTACTTCCATTTTCTGAACACTATACACCTAAGAAATACATGCAGCAGTAAATTCCAAACAGCCTTTCACATCAATGAGTGAATTTGAGGATACTCAAACTCCACAGTTCCATCTTTATCTCTAAAGGCAACAGGTTTTTTTGTTTGTTTGTTTGTTTGGTTTGGTTTTTGGTTTCTTCTTGAGACAAGGTCTCTGTCTGTCACCCAGGCTGGAGTACAGTGGCTCGATCAGGGCTCACTGCGGCCTCGACCTCCCCTGGGCTCAGGTGGATAATAGGTCATCCTCCCAACTAGCTGGAAATACAAGCACACTACCACCCGGATAATTTTTTGTTTTTAGTAGAGACAGGGAGGGTCTGGCTACGTTGCTCAGACTGGTCTCAAGCTCCTGGGCTCAATCGATCCTCCCACCTCAGCCTCCCAAAGTGCTGAGATTTCAGGCGTGAGCCACCACATCTGTCCTGAATATTTAAATAATGCAATTTCATAATGCTATTAGTCTCCCAGGGCTGCCATAATAAAATACTCTAGATTGGTGGCTTAAATAAGAGACACTAATTTCTCAGAGTTCTGGAGGCAGGAAGTTCAAAGTTCAAGTGCCAGGGCTGGTTACTGGTGAGGCCTCTCTTCCTGGCTTACAGACAGCCACCTTCTGGCTGTGTCCTCACATGGCCTTCTCTCTGCGTGTGATGGAGAAAGAGTGAGCTCTGGCGTCTCTTCCTCTTCTAATAAGGTCACCAGTCCTATTGGGTTATCACCCCACCTCTATGTCCTCATTTAATTAGCTCCCTAAAGGCCCTAATTCCAAATACAGTCACATTTGGAAGTTAGCACTTCAACATATGAATCTCCGATCCCATATGAGGTGGGAGAGGACGCAGGATTGAGTCTGTAAGGTCTATTTAGCAGGTGTTCTGCAGGTCTGCTAGAGAAAGAGAGCAGGGATCCCAAATGGCTTATATTCCTGGCAGGCAGACTCAGAGCACACATCGCCAAGTTACAAAAACAATTGCTAAACTGTATTCACTGTTGACCGTGAGCCAAACACTGTTGTAAGGACTGCACATATGTCATCTTTAATTAATTCTCCAAACAACATTGGAAGTAGATATAACTATTGTCCTCGTTTTACAGATAAGGAAACAGGCATAGAGAGGTTAATTGACACCAAAGATCACACAGCTGCAAAGTGACCGCGCCAGGATTCAGCACCCACCCCCCCCCCACACACACACAATCAGACTCCAGAGTCCATGTACTTAACTATAACACTTGGAATAGAGCCAAATATAGGAAATGCTCTAAAGACACAGGTCGGCCCTTTAACCACGATGTTCACAGAGCAAATTCTCGGCAGAATCACCAGCGCTGGCTCAAAGAGTGTGCAACTGACTTAATGTTAATTTTGCGTCACCCAGAATCCCTCCTCTATTTTAGTCCTATACTGTAACTTATGCAGATAAGATACTAAGAAAGTTTTTCTTATTAATTGCATCTTCGAGTGCCTTGGAGGCCTGGAAAAGATGTCTACCCCCACTGACTGTAAAGCCCTGACTTTTCTTTCCACATCGATGAGCAAATAAATAAAATCAGCATACATGGCTGTTTTTTCTCTTCTTGTAAAAACTTGAACTTGACAAAATCGAAACTCTTCCAGTACTACCCAGAATGTATATTGCAGAAGTGAGCACCTGCAAGAAATGGTCCTCATGGATTCAGCCGATACATCGGTCATGCTTTCGCCTCTGTAAGATCTGGCAGATCTCACTGATTGTGTTTCTCTTCCTGATGGAGCCATTGCTGTGTATCCTGGTGAGCAGTTCCCCTTTGGGGACTAAGACCTCCAAGCAAGCAGAGCTCAAGGTAGCCAGAAGGAGGAACAAACATTCTGTGAGAGAATTATTGGGTTTCATAGTGACGTGAGCCACTTCCATCTCTTGATTCCAAGACCCATATGTCCTGGCTGTGGGGTGGATGGGCGTTCTATTTCAAAGCGCACACAGTACACTTTAAGATGGACTCCATCATTTCAGTGTGGTGACTCCCAAATAATACTATAATTAAGTCTTCACTAAGCAGTTACACTTTCCAGAATCTGCCCAGTTGCTTCCAGGTGACAGGGCATATGGTAAGACCAGTTAATTCTGTGGCCTTGAGACTCTGCTGCACTTCACTGCTGAGAAAGAAGCAATGCTATGGGAATCATTGATTAGAAACATCACCATGGAAATTCCATGATGGTGGGTAAGGTGCCCAGTGAGTTCCATAGATGGTGCTCCTGGCAGAAGCATTACGGCAGGGAAGGCATATCCTTGTCCAGAATGTGTCTATTTCAGTGAGGATAAATCTCTGACCGCCCTCCCCTCACCCCAAGATGGAAAAGGTCCAGTGGAATCAATTTGCCAAAAGAGGGCTGACTAGTTCCCCAGGTGAATGGGGCTATATCAGGGGATCCATGTTGGCCTCCATTGTTGACATATTAGGCTTTCAGCAGTAGTGTTAGCCAGGCTAGCCGTGGTAAGAGAAAGTCCACATTGTTGAGGCAATGAATAGCCTCTATGCCTACCACCATGGACCCCCTGTTTATGGGCTTATTGAGAAGGAACTAGAGTGGCCAAGAATAGAGACTGATACCCACTGAGTACATGAATTTCCCACCTAACCACTAAGAACTTCCCCTCCAGTGAATGCACTTGGGTCATCATTCACATGAAACATAAATATCTTCTGGTAACCATTGTGAGATATCCATTCATTCACCTCTTCCCAAGATGTCCTTGTCAACAATTTTCTGATCCGATTTCTTTCAGGTCCCTAGCCATCCAAACCACTGGCAACTGCCCACGAATCAGTGTCCATTTGTACTACCAGCCACCTCTCAGTCTAGACATGGCATTCAATGAAATCTGCTGCTCAGAGTTCTATCAACTGGGAGCATTTTTCTTCACCAGCGTCCTTCAGGATCACCCCTGAGTGGAACTGAGTAATACCTGTGTGTAATGCAGAAAAATCTGCAAACCAGATGAAATAACAAGTCTTGTCGTTTATCCTCATTCAACTGGTCATAAGAAGTATCCCAAAGAGGCCATAAACCATATGAGTGGAAGGGACAAAGTACCTTCAGAGTCAAAGGAATCTAAGCCACTTGCCCATGCAATGTTCTTGTGCCACCTGGATCTGCCCAACCCCAGTCTCTTGGACACCATTTCAATTTGATGATAAATTGCTGCTGTGCACACATGGCCTTATGTCTGGGAGGGTCAAACAACACTCAGTTCATGATGAGAAGTTCATATCACATGGTCACCCAGCATACCCCTGTTAGGCATTCAATCTCTACTAAGGCCTAATAGCAAGGTAGATGCTATTTTCCAAAAGGCAAATAGCCATATTCAGAATAAGGCATAGATGTGCACAAAAATCCTAGAGTTTGGTGCTGTAATTTTCCTTTCAGTGCTTGCTAATGACTCCATACTGCATTCCTATTTGCCACAAATACGTTATTATCACTGGAGCTTCTGGATAACAAGGCTCAAGTGATACAACGGCTTGGACACAGCCTGAACTTGCCACAGAGACTTCTCAGAACTTGTTCAACACCACTTGAAACTGGCAGCCTGACAGGTAACTCTACAGATGAATCCAAAAGCACATTTAAATGTGGCATGTGTTTCCTCCTAAATACAAAAAGGCTGAACACACATTTTTCCTCTTTTCCCATTGTGGATCATCCAAGGACCAGCAACTTTCCTTTCACCTTAGAGGAATGACGACTGAGCCCCCAGAAACTTCATTGAGGTAGCAGGTTCCTGAATTTTTGTGGGGTCGATCTCCCACATTATATCTTACCAAGGCCTCTAAAGTATGTGGTGTTTTGTGAATGTCAGATCCATTCATCATAATGTCATCCATGAGGTCATCCAATGTGATGGTTTGTGGAATGTCAAGACAATCAAAATCTCTGCAGAATAAATGCGATAGAGAGCAGGAGGACTGACATAGCCTGAGGCAAAACTGAAAGTATACAGATAGCCCTCACAGGTAAATGCAAATGTTGCTGGCAATCCCTGCAAATCAGTAAGGAATAAAAGGCAGGTGAGTAGCTACAAAGCAAATGCTGGGAGACATATCAATTTGCTCCAGGAAAGATACTACATCTAGGACAACAGCTAGAATATGAACTACATCTAGGACACCACCTCATTCAATTCATAGTAGTCCTCACTATTCTTCAAGACCCGTGTGCCATTTGCACAGACCAGATGATGAGTTCAATGGAGATGTGATAACTATTACCACTTTTTTCTAGTCTTTGATGACAGCAGCGACTTTTGCAATCCCCTCAAAGATGCAATATTGCTTCTGATTTATTCTCTTGGTAGAAATGAAAGTTCTAGGAGCTTCTGCTTATCCCTTCCAACAATAAAAGCCATCACCCATGGGTGAGAGAGAAAATGTGGGTGTTTGTCAGTTGTCAACTCTGGTCCCTTTGGAGAAGTCTTAGAGGAGGATTTATGCATGTGGCAATGGT